CGTGTGTCTAGTCGCTGGCCAGACACTCTGTTCCGCCTCTCTGTCTACTCCAGCTTGCCGGCACGCAGCGCGGCCTTGTCGGCGTTGGCGCGTCGCGAGGGCGCGTGGTTGAAGATGGACTGGTGCAGGAACAGGCCCGAGGCGAACGCGTTCCAGCGGCACACGAGGCAAAGCCGCAGCAGCTCGGCCCGCCTGCCCTCGTCGCCGAGCCCGCCTACAAAAAGAAAGCGTGTCGCCGCACGCGACGACCGCCGTGAAGTCCTGCCCTCCTGCCCTCGCCGCCGAGGTCGGCCGCGCCCGGCTCCTGCAGCAGCGCGTCGACGCACGCGCAGTGCTCCTCCTCCAGGCGCGGCCGGTCAAAGGCAGACACGCTGCGCAGCTCCATCGGGTGCAGCCGCGAGAGCGCGGCCAGGGCGACCCGTCGCTCCACCGCGCTGCGCCGGAGCACGGACTGCAACAGCGAGAGCGGCTCGTGTTCGGCTGACGGCCAGGGCACAAAGGGCTGCTCCCATATCAGGACTTGGCCGGGCGAGATGTCGCGAGCCGCCACGAAGCCGCGGCCCGACCCCGGGATCTGCCGCACCGCAATCGGGCCGACCACACGCGGAGGGTGCTCGGGCCACACACAGAGCGCGTCGGCGGTGTTGACGTCGGCGGCAGCGGTCAGCCGGGGCGGGACAACGACCTGATCGCCGTTGGCATCCGCGAATGGCGCGAGAGCGTTGCGCTTGCTACTGGCGGCGGTGGCGGGCACAGCTGGTGCGGGTGCGCATCCGGCTGTGCCGACCGGAGACGTGGGAGGAGGGTCCCCAAAGATGGACCAGACGTCATCCATGTGCTCGGCGAGGCGGCGGGGCAGGCGAGCAGATCGAGGTGGGCGCACGCGGGAAGAGCCCTGCACCGCGGTCCGAGGCGCAACGCTGTGAACAGGCGAGCGAGATGTGGCGGAGGCGCTCGCCCTCAACCCGCGGCTGCGGGGCGAGTAGTGCGCCACTTTGCCGGCTGCCGGCAGGACTTCCTGCTCGCGCCCGGCAGCGAGCGCGAGGCCGAGGCGGCCGACCAGGCCGTCTCGCTCGCGCTCGCCTTTCTCGACCGCCACGTGTGCCAGAGGGCTTCGCCGCCGGCGTTCCCAGGTAACGGCTAGCCGGGGTCGGTGTGCGGCTGAGCGCTGAGGGCGGGGGCCGGTTCAGAAATCACCCCGTTTTTGCCCGTTTTTGGTCATCCGTCAAAATATCTGAAGATCTGACCGGGGGATTCTCCCCAAGGGTGAAATTCTCAAAAAGGTGCAGCACTTCTAGCCGACATCGACAAAAGTCCCTCTCTAGCCCCGCGGCGAGCGGCCCCGCCGGAGGCGAAGAAAATTTCGCCATCTAGCGCTCGCAACACACAGATTTGTGCATAAATCAACACACTCCAACTCAAGCTCAATAAAGACTGGTCTTCGGGGGAGTGACGGATAAAGGCGTGCGAAAGAGCTATGAATTCGAAAGCAGCGAAAGTAATGGCCGGCCGCAGGGTTTTGGGTCCCCTACGCCAAAGAACTCGAGGCCCAGGATTTCGGCGGGCGCGCCAACGAGGCACGCGGCTTCGCGCTGCCTGTATGCTCGCGCTGGTAACACCGTTGCTGTGGCCGTCTTCGTCCGTATTGTACACCGAGCTGGCGCCACAGCAGAGTACAACAACGGCTCGGACGAGCTGCTCCACGGTACTACAATCATCAGAGGGCCCGGCAAGGTCCACGGCGGAGCTGGCGGTGGTGGCAGTGGTGGTAGGAACGAAGGCGCCGCTGTCGGCGATTCACCGCCGTTCGTTCCCGTCTCTCAAAGCAGGTTACACCGTCGATGCGCACATCGAGGCGCTCGTGGACGAGAGAGACGTCGCCTCCTCTTTCGTCCCGGGGCACTGTTCATGCAGGATCATCACGCCGGAAGGCACCGCCAAGTACATTAGCCTTCATCTCTCCTACCGCCGGCCGGGAGTGCAACCGCCACCAGTGAGATTGTCCTCGACTTTGGCACCTGCGAAGTAATGAACAACAGGCAGTACGTCATATGGCGCTATGATAGCCCTGCGGTGGACGTCCTCGATGCAGACGAGGCCAGGACGAGGCGGAGCTCATCTGCGCGGCGCAGATCGCCGACTGTCTCTCTCTCCCTGCGCGAGTAGTTGCACCACCCTGGATGAGGCATCTGGGCTGGGGCAGGGCCGTTAGTAGAGGAGGTGGACTGAGGGCGCGAGGCCACCAATCGTCAAAGTCTGCTGCTGACTGACTGTCGGTCACTGACTGAGCAATGAGCAATCGCATCGGCGGTTTCACGCTCACAATCGGGTTACATCGAGGTCTCTGTGCGGGATGTGCTGGGGGGCTGCCCCCCAGTCGATTGCCGCAAAGTTCGTCGATGTAACCCTACCAGAAAGCTGTATTCACACCTACCCTCCAGAAAAGAAATATGGTTTTGTCGAAGATCCGGCGGGTTTATCGGAGCATCACCCCCAAACCTTGCTCAACTGATCCAGCACGGGCCGTAGGCCAGCCCAGGGCAAAGAAACTAGTACCTCATCGGGCTTCCCTGAGCGTCACAGCTCGGTGATCGCGCCGGCCGGACACCACTGTGACGTCCGTTCCGGGCATTTGAACGCGACCTTCGGGGGCAAAGACATGGGCTCTATGGCTCAGACTGGACCCCTCTTGGTCCCTTCTGATGCCCTAGGCTACACCTGGGCCTTACCTGGGGTTCTAGGGGCCGGGCAGGGTTTGCCCCCCGAAAGTGGCCCGGGAAACCTTAACACACAAAATTCTTCTCTACAGGTGCGGGCTTCGGTTTCGCAACAGCTTCGTTTTCACCAACACGGCCGCCTCGAGACGCCGCGCCGTCGTGCAATTCGTGCCCGAGCCGTCCACAAGGCCGCCGGCACATTTGCCAATGTGCCCGGAGCGCAGGGAGTCGATGGGTGCCGCAGTGCGAGCGAGCACTGCAGCTGCAGTGCTCGCTCGCACTGCGGCGCTGCGCCACGGCGGCGAAGCATGTCTGGACTTCAAGGACAGCGCTTCTCCGCTGCTCGAGGCTTGCGGCACGGTCCAGGCCGACCACACGGAGCACCCGAGGCAGCTGGCGTGGCCTCACTCATGACCTGTGCTACCCGTCGGCGGGGCCAGCTGCGGTTTCACAACGCGCCTCATTTTGGGCACCCTCCTGCTAGCCGCGCATGAGTAGGGAGACCGTGTGTGGTGTCTTCGCGGCCTAGAGCACCCTCTTGGCAGTCTATATTCCGGATTTTAGCCCTCCTGTCGCATCTGGTGAGCCGTACCATAGCGAGGACCAAACGTGTTGTGAAACCAAAGCACGGACCTGGTGTACAAACATGCTGTGAACCGACGCCGGAGCCGCCTAATCGTGACTCTCTTCTCACGGATCGCTCCCCCATCCAACTAGTGTTGCCGAACCATGCCGGCATACGCGCGGCCACGCGCGCGCGCCATCGAGACAGTCGGTCGCAGCGTTGGGCGGCGGATCCGGCCGCGCGCCGACAAAATGTTTGAGGATATCGAGCGCGCGTGGCACCAGGTCGACGGGTACGGGCAGGTGTGCGGGCGGCTGGCGTCCAAGCTGGTGCCGCTGCTGTGCGGCAAGCACAAGCCCACCTACCAGCCGCAGCGCGACATGGGCGACTATGTCGTCGTGACCAACGTGGCCAAGACGGTGCACACGGGCAAGGCGCTCGACCAGAAGCGGTACTACCGCCACTCGGGCTACGCAGGCGGGCTGAGCTACGTGACGCTGCGCCAGCTCATCGCCAGCAACCCGCTCGAGCCGCTTCGCCGCGCCGTCTACGGCATGCTGCCCAAGAACAAGCTGCGCGAGCAGCGGATGCGCCGGCTGCGGCTCTACCCCGGCGCAGAGCACTCTCACGGCGCGCAGCCCTAGATGCTGAATACCGACCCCAAGGCACGTGTTCGGCCGTGTCCGGCTGTGCTGCAGGCGTACTCACTGTACTCCGTAGCCCCTTGTAAGCCCTCTGCACGCGTCCGTCTTCCCGCCCTGAGCTCCCTGCTTTCGTCACTAGGTGCGCAATTCAAGCCGGGCCTGCCCGCCTTCACCGCCGAGTTTGACCACAAGGATTCACCCGCCGTGCTCAGACCAGTCACGCGGGACGAGACGCCATGAGGGCAAAGAGCAGAACTGGGGGAGGGGGGGGCGAGCGAGCGCCCCTGAGCTGCCATCGCACTTACAGAGCTTACACATGCACAATGTATTGCACAGCGTTGTATTGCGCGGCGGCGCGCGTGTGGTTGATGTCTTTAGCCGTGTATGTGGAAGCAAGAGGAGGCGCGCAAAAAACGTCCCCGAGCAGCGAGCTCGCATAACCATAAGCGATAGAGGTTAAAGCACATTATTTATTTTTCCCGAACAAGCCGCGTAACATATAGTAACAACAAACAAGCGCAGAAGCGGCATGGGCGGCCATGGCGCACATGCTCAACGAAGGGGCGTGTGTCGTGTGAGAAAAAGTCGACCCCGCGCCATACCGAAGGTCCGCTCTTTTTTTAATCTTTAAGAGAGGTCTCCAGCAGCTACGTATGGTTTG